TACCTGACGGATTATTAGTTATTATTATTATTATTATTATAGACAACACCTCATGGCATGAGAAGAAAATCAGCCAGTACGGGAGATGTGGGTGTTAACCAACCATGGTGAATAAAAGAAGAAAAGTAATGGTCAAGACGGAGAAGCATGGGAGGGACAGGTGATGGTGAATCTAGTGAGCAGATTTAAATGCGTCCAGGGTACTGGCATTGCGCGTAGTAGCGGGCAGCGCGAGCCAAGCAGAGTAAGCAACAAAGAGTGGAGAGCGCACAAGGGAGGACGTTTTAGCCAAGGGGAGGGCAACAGAGCATCTTGTCTGGGAGCCATCTGTGATTCGGAACCAGTTATACACGTTAAGATGAGGAGGATGTAGAGCTAGTTTAAATTTGTGAGCAAAAGTGCAAATTAATTTTTGACGGTGGGTCGACAGTGGGCAAGCATTTGCAAGGACATACAGGGAAGCAGAAGAGTAGAGAGGGGGTAGACTAAACAGGATACGAAGAAGTTTTCTATGGTGGATTTCGAGACGCTCAGCGAGAACCGAGGACAAGCCACACCAGCTAACAGCAGCGTACATGAAAAGAGGGAGGATGTACAGTTTGTAAAACAAAATTTTACATTTGAAAGGAAGATGGAAACAATGGGGACGTATAACACCTAGGGCAGAGCTTGAACGGCTGCAAAGAGCATCAATATGGAAAGACCAAGAGAGACGATCATCAAGCATTATTCCCAGGTGTTTATGGTTGGAAACAACCTTTATGGGTTCTGGGAAATCAGGATGGTGTAAAAGTGTCATGGATGAGATTGGGGGAAGGAACATTATTTCGGTTTTAGTCAGGTTGGGTCTAAGTCGCCATGTTTGCATCCGGCGTAGGACACTGCATATCTGAGCCGACACTCGAGGTACAAGAGCCGCTGAGGACGAGGATGCTGACAGTAGGGTTGTATCATCAGCAAATAACGAGACGCCTGGGTCTATAGAGGGTAAATCATTTACGTATGCTACGAACAAAAGAGGTCCAAGTATGGAGCCTTGGGGAACTCCAGAAGACACTGGTAGAGGATCAGAGTTGATGGAGAGGGCAGAAACAAACTGTGATCGGCTACTCAGATAGGACTCCAGCCAGGACAGAGCAGGGCCAGACACACCAAAGACAATATGTAGCTTGGCAAGGAGGCCACGATGCCAGACAGTATCAACGGCCTTTGCCAAGTCAAAGAAACAGAGAGCAATATGGTGTCGAGCATCACGAAGGGTGGCAATGTCATGTACTAGACGAGCTAGTTGGTCAGAGGTTGAGTCGTTGCGCCGAAAGCCAGATTGGGAAGGGCTAAGGCATGGTGAAATGTGGCAATACAACTGGTCGTAAAATACCTTTTCACACACTTTTGAAAGGGAGCAGAGAAGAGATATTGGACGATAGTTTGAGGCTTGTGATCGGGAGCCTTTACACTTGTAGATGGGCGTGACCTTAGCGATCTTCCAACGATCAGGAAATACGCCGGAGGAGTAGGAAAGGTTGAATATAAGGCACAGTGGGTACGGCAGAGATGGAGCCAGAACTTTGAGAACTTCATTTGGTAGGGCATCAGGACCAGGGCTTTTGTTGCTTTTTAGTCTTTTTAGGTAGCTGCGAACAGATGATGTGGTGGTATGTATAGAGCGCAGATCAGAAGACACAGTCGCAGAACGTTGCAGAGGTGGTATTGGAGAGGAATGGTCGTCTGGAATACCAGCTGATGTAAATTGCGTATTGAGAGTATTAGCTGTAGTATCCCTGCCCGACCAATACGGAAGCAGTACGGAACTAATACGGAGCTTGCCTGATGTATATTTAGTGTACTCCGTATGTAAGCGTACGTCGTCTGCTGCATAAAGGCGGCTGCGCATTTCTGTTTTGAGGAAGAGAAGATTAGATTAGATTGGATAGCAATGAAAGCTAACTCGAAGAATAAGGATTCAGCCTCTAGGTGAGCACCGGAGAGAAAGTCAGTTATTTTGCCGCTTCTTCTTTCACGAACGATTATATCTCAGGTGTGTACCTGAAAGTAGAATAAAAGTAATTATTGTTGATTTCACCGCGCCTACCACTCGGCTACCCATTACATTGGTGGCAGCGGTGTGTTTTTGTAAAATAAAACAACGTGATTCGACCCCAGACCCCCATGGCTCAACCCGCTGCAGCTCCGTGCGACGAATCAAGATGAGAATCGTGTTTCATGCTTTCCTGGGCCTGGCCATGCTTATTAGCCTGCAGCACAGTCAGGGTGCTGACGTGGATCACCATTCTTTCCGCACGGCATCCATTGGAGACTCCGATGGCGATTCCAAGCAACCCGCTACCTACATGTATACTACCGGTGGTGATGGCGAAGCTGATGTGGACGACGACATGCAGGCTGCTGACCAAGACAAGGAGGGTATCCCCCAAGACCAGCAGCGTTTGATTTTCGCCGGCACGCAGTTGGCAGACGGCCGAACCCTGAGTGACTACAACGTTCAGCAGGAGTCCACTATTCACTTGGTACTTCGTCTCCGTGGTCACAGGTGGAATGCAGAATTTCGTGCACACTCTTCCTGGCTAGACCATTACTCTTTACGTCGCGCCAAGCGATTCTATCGACAATGTGAAGACCACGATTCAAGACGAGGAGGGAGTGATCTGTCTGACGCCGAGCTAGCCGCTCTGAGTGACCGGCTCAACCAAGATGAAGATAAAACCTGGCTTGCTCTCCGCCGTAGCTCCAGCCGCCGCCGTGGTTACTAACGCTGATTCCAGGTATGGCATTTTCTTTCCTGTCTTCCTTCAGTCTACCTGTTCTCTTCAGTCTTCCTTTATGCGAGTGTGTGAATCCAGTTTAGTTTGGTAGGCGTCTGATCATGGTGAGCCACGGTTTACCCAGCTAACGTGGGACAATGTGTGTGACAACGCCCCTTATAGTTATAGTGTATTCAGTTCGGTTTTTGAACTGCGATGTTCCTGGCGGGTTGTGCCAGCGTAGTGCAGCAAGAGTGCTGTGGTTTCAGGTCCTATTTGGAGGACAGTTCTTTCCCTTTTGACCCCGTGAGATCGTGTGAACCTGGTGTGCTTTTACTTCTATTTTATGATTTGTTATCAGTTCATTTCTTCTGTCTACTCTAAACGTTATCATTTCCGATATAATTTGCCATCTTCCGGTTGACGCTGTTGTTCGTAACTCCTCACTAATTTTTTGAAAATCACGAGGGCGTGATTATCTGTAGGAAGGAAGGGTGTAGTATCCCTGCCCGACCAATACGGAAGCAGTACGGAACTAATACGGAGCTTGCCTGATGTATATTTAGTGTATCTCCGTATGTAAGCGTACGTCGTCTGCTGCATAAAGGCGGCTGCGCATTTCTGTTTTGAGGAAGAGAAGATTAGATTAGATTGGATAGCAATGAAAGCTAACTCGAAGAATAAGGATTCAGCCTCTAGGTGAGCACCGGAGAGAAAGTCAGTTATTTTGCCGCTTCTTCTTTCACGAACGATTATATCTCAGGTGTGTACCTGAAAGTAGAATAAAAGTAATTATTGTTGATTTCACCGCGCCTACCACTCGGCTACCTATTACATTAGCTACAGACTTGGGGTCAGTCACCATCGAACCATTGGAAGCTAATAACGGCGGTATGTCTTCACGTGTACTAGTTGTCCTTTGAGTGCGAACAAAGGTATACAGGTTAGGCCTGGAAGAGGGGTGAGATAGGGTGGTAGTGAGCGAACGTAAATATGCTCGATACTTAGAACGTGACAATGACTTCACCAGATTGCGCTGTTTTTTTTTGTATAAATAAATATTAGCATAGGTGGAGTACTTCTTACTTAAGTAGTAGTCGTATTTGAGTTTAATTGCACCTTGGAGATCTTTGTCGAGCCAAGGGATCTTGGGGTTACGGCTGGACTGACGAGGGTGCAGCCGGTGGTGGCTGCCATGTTTGGGTGTAGCGGGTCTTGCTCCGTATTGTGGCACATAGAAGGAGAGCACGTCATCAAGAACTGTGGTGAACTTCTCCACAGCTTCATCAACAGTAGTGGAGGTGAATAAAAGATGCCAGTCACAGGCAAAAAGTGCAGAGTTGATGATTGACCAAGTGGAGGGTGTAACCTTGCGGAAGGCATGTCGCGGAGGGGTAGGAGTCTGAGAGCAGTTGTAAGAGGTGTTAGCAGTGGCAATGTTGTAGGCTAGCGTTGTAATGACTTGCAAATGATCCGATGCAGCAAGCGGGGCAGCATCGTCAACAGAGCGTACAGAGAGGGGGCGGTTCGTAGCAAGCAAGTCCAGACAGGACAGTCTTCCATTCGGAGCGACACGGGTGGGGAAATTGACAAGCTGCTGGAGGCCAAAGCTAGAGAACACGTGTGATAGCTCCGTACCAGCACGCGATGTGGTGTCACCACTCCACCAGTCAGAATTGTGGGCATTGTAGTCACCGGTAAGAAAAACATCAAATAAAGAGAGGTCCAATTCGGAGCGTGCCACGAATGAAGAGGCTTCCATTCGTGAAAACGAGTTCTCCGCAGGGACTCTGACGAATCCTCGAACCCAGGTGACGAATCAGCATTCGTTTCGTATCCGTACGCGGGGTGCGAAAGGTCCCTAATATGAGGATTTTGCGAGCATAATGCGAGAATCCATGAAAGCATAATTCCATGATTTTGCGAGCATAATCCGCCGGAGCCTTGCTGTCGACTGTCAACCTTACTATGCCGTCCATAGTCAACCGATACTATAGCATAGTATAGGCGATATCTGATTGACATAAATCTGTGCGTAGTGTGGAGTGATGAAATGCTGAGATTTTGCTACTCCAAAGGTCATTGCGTCACATGCACAGTGAAGCATAATGGGCGCGTTCGTCATAATTATTTTTTCCTTCATGTCATGAATCTGTGAATCCATCACAAAAAAGCAGAGTTGGCTTGAACTTTTTGAGGTGGTTTTTTTGTTGAGGATCCCCAGATCTGCAGACAGCTGATCTGAGCATACATCATTCGAATCGTAGTGTTGCAAAGTTAGTTTTGAGGTGGGAAGTTCTCTTTACTTTTCAAGTCATGGCCAGTTCTTCAGCTTTCCGCCTGCTGTCATGCAGATCAATGGGGCTGCTTGCCGCCGCTCGACCCATCACAGCTGGACTCAATGTGTGCAGCGCTGCTCGCCCGGCACAGTTTACTGCTCCTCGCTGTCTTGCAACTTCTGCCAAACGCTGCAATATAAGCACGCTCTCTGAGAAGGACCAGGAGGATGTTCGCTCTCGGGCCACGAGCATTGTCAAGAACTTCCAGGGAGTCAACCCAGAGAAGGTTCGTATTTTTCCTGGGCTTGTTTGTCACTTTGAATGGTCTGAGACGTGAGTGAAAACAATAATTTTACGTAAACACTAATTAAATTTTTATTCGTCCTTCTGTATTTTTGTTTCTCTTTTGCATCCTGTTTAAAATAGACGTAAAAGGTCCCTATCTAGAGAGCCCCTTCCAGTGACTGTGTCAAATAATACAGAAGAGTACAGTTAGTGTATCAAGGGATAAATAAATCCTTGTGAGGAATCATTCTCACGTATGCGATCGTATGCAAGCTTGCAAAGGAGTAGTTATATTATAATATTATACTGCATACGGGTATTACCTGATGAGGGCAATTTGCCAAACCATTAATAATAATTCAACTCGGATGAAGAGCCAAGGATTAATTTTTTTTAAAGAGAGTCATTTTTTGTGCTATTTGTTGCACATTTTGACTCAACAGTATCCTGCTTATAATCTTTAGTGTTGGACAAAACGGACACTGTAAAACACGTAATTTTTGGTGTAACTTTAATTTCGGTGATTTCGGTAGAGAAACCAGGCACCTAAATTTAAATTACACCTAAAAGGCACTAGAGTATGCACTGCATGTGAAGGGAATGCTGGTCACCTAATTTTAATTACACCTGAAACCTGGCAGGTCCCTGCCACTGAAATTTTAATGCACCTAAAATTACATGTTTTTACAGTAACTAGTAAACTGATGGTTCTCTCTTTTTAAATTAACCCTTATCCATCCGACAAAATCGCTGAGCAGGCCAAAATTGCAATTTCACGACATATTTTACCTTCAAATTATCTTAACTTTAGTCTCCATCGGCCGAATTCCATGATCTTGCGCTTCCTGGAAAGGTCCTTCCGCGACGAATGCACAGAGCCCGCACTCGACATCTATAAAGCCACAAGTCGAGCGCCGCCACTTGCCAAACTTGCCCCAGCGCCAGATCTGCGGGCAGAATCCAAATTGTCTCGCCATTTCACTCTCCTCCATCGCTGGACTTTGAATTTTTGTGTACAGAACATTTATTTGGTTTTTACGTCCTGAGCATGTGCTTGCTGACATAACTGTCATGCAAAAAAGAAAAATCTGACTTTGAAATGTTCCCGAGCGCAGAAAAATCCCAATTGCCATGATTTTACATTCGGCGGACGATATCGTTGCAAGGGAGCGTCGTAGCTCTTCGGCGATTGTTCGAGACAATAGCCTGGTGTTTTCTAATGGCGATAGACCCTTCGATAGTGGAATTTGGTCAAGAAATGACTGAGATATGATGGATTTACTGATCGACGGATAGTCGTAGATTTTTGACTGGTCGGACGGACAAGGGTTAATAGTAATTGATTGGTAAACGAGTTAGATCTTGTTGCAGAGTGGATAGGAAAGAGTGGGCCTGCTCTAAAAACCTCTTCCTTGATACTAGGAAAGTCATCACATTAAATATCATCACATTCATTTGTTTCGTGTCCATCAGGTTGAGTGAGTTGAAGTTGCAAAAGTCTTTTCTTTAGAACTCTCCAACTCCACTGCAGCATATTCCTTGCACTCGTAAACACATCCATTCTCTGCCCCACGCACAGGCTCTCTGCTTCACGAAATAAATGAATGAAAAAAGATCGCAATTGAAACAACGGCTGCCAAAACGTTTTCACATTCCACATTTCCTAGCTTTTGCTCACTTCATTCAGTTTTACAATCTTTCCAAGAACAACACGAAACAATACAGTGAGATCGGGCACCGAAGAACAAACACTTAGGCTGGAAAATTGCCCAGATTTAAGAACACATGTACCGCTTTCCACATGTTTTCCACGTGGTGTGATCGCGTATGCATGGTCCTCTTCATCGTGTGGTGCTCTCCATGAAGAACAACAAAATGACTAACTTCAACTTTTTAGAACAATGCTAAGCTGCACCCTGAGCCCCTGCGTTCGTCGCCGCCCGATCTTACTGTAGCATCTGACTCTTTCTGGTGGTCAAACGAATGTGCGAAACAACGAATCGAACCTTCTCCGAATGTTCCTAACGAATACCGAACGAATGTCACCCCTTTCCATGATTAAGTAATCAGTAAGGAATTATAGCTACTGACCAGTATTTAACACTAAAAGGCACCTAAATCATAAGCGAAATTGCACACTGCAAGTCTGCAACCGAGACTGTAAGGATGAAAGAGCAGACAGAAAAGATAATGGAATCGTTCAACAGTTCTGTTCAACAGTTCTGGCACCAGTAAGTTGGCAGTAACCCGGTCATGCAACCAAGTTTGGCACATTAGGAAGCGGATGCAGCACGGGGTTTTCCCCAGCTTCTAGCTCTGCAGGTGTTACCTCTGCCACGGGAGATGCGCTGCTGGTCCTAGCAAACAGTAGTTGCCAGTTCCTTTAAGAAAGATCAGTGCATCGGCATTTAATGGAAGAAGTGACGCTCTCTTCTTGGTGATGATGTTGCCCGCAGCGTAAAGGATTCGTTCCGCAGGCCTCGATGTTGCTGGTACGCAGAGAAGAGCCATGGTTACTTTGCTTGGGCATGGATAACGAACACCATTCTTCCTCCACCAGGCCAATGGGTCCTCTGATCGCAGGGCCACTGGCTCACTTGCAAAGCGTGCAACCTCGTCTTCAGCTGCATGGCTTGTGCTGGTGCAACTATCTGGCGAGGCTGTCGCAGGACCGAACAGGTAGTCGAAGAAGTGGCTGGTGGGTTTGGTACGCTGGGCAGGCGGCTCGCCGACCAGGTCATCAGCGTGGAAGTGTCAGGACATTCTGTCAGAACGACCATGATTTCTTACTGCATGGCCTGTATGGGGGTAATGGAAACTTCGCCAACGCATCTCAACTGATGATGGAGTCGCACAACCTCTGTACGGAAGAACGCGTGTCGAGTACATTTTCTTCAGTGTATTTAAGCAAGGCTAGGCGTAGCACACGAGCTATCGCGGCAAGCATCCTGTTTTTTTTTCTTCTTGTGTGTGTGTGTGTGTGTGTGTGTGTGTGTGTGTGTGTGTGTACCGTTATTTGCATGTAGGTGACAGACCAAGCAAAGTTCGTAGATGATCTCATGTTAGACAGTCTGGATGTGGTGGAGATCGTCATGGCATTTGAAGATGAGTTTGGTAAGGTCTTTCTGGATTGTGTTATTATTGTGCTGCTGCTGCTGCTGCTGCTGCTGCTGCTGCTGCTGCTGCTGCTGGTGGTGGTGATGGTGATGGTGGTTCTGATGCTGCTGCTGCTGGTGATGGTGTTGCTACCACTACAGGCCCGGTGGAGCCTGTCCGGTTGGTCAGGCCTTGGCCGGATCAACTTTTTGGCCACCAACATGTATTTACTGCTGAAGAGGTCTGAGTCATGTGTATACCCTAGCCTTTCATACACAAACTGTGAAAGCCTAGGGTATTGCTGGACCAATCGAAAACTGCTTCCGCCGGTCCTGCAGTAATGATGTTGGAGCTGATGATGTGGTGTCACTGCTGTTGCTGCCTTGGTGGTGGTGCTGTTGCTGCTACGTCTGCTGGGGCTGCTGTTGCTGTCTCTGCTTTTGCTGCTGCTGCCCTGGTGGTGGAGGTGGTGGTGCTGTTGCTGCCGCTTCTTCTGCTGTTGGTGGGGCCTGTGCTGGTCCTGCTCTTGCTACTGTGCCTTCTGCTGATGCCCTGTGTGTGTGTGACCGCCCTAGCTCTTTTTCTATTGACTTTGCATGCTGTGGTTGTACTCTCTTCAATCTGTGCTGCTGCTGCCGCTGCCTTAGCTGCAATGCGGTTACATTCATCTTCATTGTTTCAAAGACCTGCGCGTTTCATTCTGCCGTGGTTTTCGTGTGTGTGTGCGCGCGTGCGTGTGCGTGCGCGCGTGTGTGTGTGTGCGCGCGCACGCACGTGTGTGTGTGTGTATGCTTATTGCGCGCTGCCTTTATAGATATCGAGATCAGCGATGATGAGTTGGAGCAGGCAGAGTCTCTGAGCGTGGCACTGGACACTATTGCTCTCAAGGTGGCAGCAAAGTGAACCTCAAGATCTGTTCGTAAGTTTGCATTATTTCATTAGTACCGTCGAGGCCAAAGAAATCCGACCCACGTACCGAAATCAGCACCGACACGCATTGCGGGGGAAGGCGCGTTGCGGCCTTCGGATGTTTTTCTCCCGACTGTGCGTGATGTGCTGGTGGTATGAGTGGAGGTCGGCTGGAGAGCGCAGTTATTGATGTAGCGGTGCATGATTATATAATTTAGAAAATGTGCTACGTTTGACCCGTTTGTCGGATTTCTTTGGCCCCGGCTGTGGTATGTTTCGGGGCATGCTTGATTGCTGAGAATGCAACTGTCTATACACCGTAGTGCCCTAAACGTACTGCGAATAGCATGCATGCTTTCATACCCACAGCATGGGTATCAGCGTAACGTATTACAGTTGAACTGGTCCTAAGATTAACACAACGCCTGAGAAACACACACACACACACACACGCACCCGTCAGACACACAGATACACACACATGGTGGGAGTGAGTAAAACATCCGGCAGTCCAACATGGATTCTAAGTCGCAAGGCCTCAATCTTCGAATTGGGGATGATTCAATCGCCGACGCGAGGAGACTTTGATCACCGAACTTTGCTCTCCAAATTGGGGACACTATAGTCTCCGAAATGCGGGTAGCCGTGGAACAAGAACAGCCCGTGCCGGATCCTGCCTGTGGATCTTTGCTTGAAGTCCACGAGCAGGGGTGTGCATGAGCGCATTGCCAAATATGGTAGGTATGAGTAATGCATGTGAGTACACTGGGATCTGCAATGCACTGTTCAACACCCCAGACGACCATGCCCAGGTGGCTGTGTGGCGTGTTCGCGGTACAAATTACGTCATTGAGCAGTGGCCTTAGGAATCTTGCTCCTGGACCCCTTCCACTGTACATTTGACTCCGGTATGCTCGTGATACTGGTGTGCTGTCTGCACTGCCCACATCTCCACTGGGTGGCAAAAATTGTCAGGGCGCCGTCATTCATTTCCGATTCATTGACGTCCTGAAGTGCACACCACGCGGCACCATCAATGTATGTGTACAAGCGAACAATTCTTTCCTTCACTTTGTATTCATAACCTTTTGGCTTGGTATCTCTGTCCTTGTGTGTTATCGTCGTGCTGTTCAAGCCTTTAGACCCTAGTTTCTTAGTTTGATGACATCTGGTCATCTGTTCATCTAGCATTGGCCCTTGTAAGATTACATGCATGCTTGCTAATGCCGTTATTTGTTGATTGCCTTATGATTGAATTTGTTCGGTTTTTGGAATTCTCTCTGTCTCTCTCTCTCTCTATCTATCTATCTATTTATCTCTATCTCTATCTGACAAAACACGTGCACACGCACACACACACACACACACACACACACACTTTTTTCTGAAGTTTGTCTTTTCCTTTCTTCTGTTGTGTTGTGTTGCGTTCACAGATTTTCTCAGCTCTCCGTCGCTCTCTGTCTTGTTTGCTTTCTTCTCGTCTGGACTGTGCTGGGGCGTAACCGATTGCAGATGCTAGATATGCCTGGTCTCTGAGTCGACCTACATGCCACTATGTTGTGGTGGTTCCAACAAGATCACTACCGTATCTCGCTATGCCTTCTTTTGTGGCAGTTGTCGCTGTCATTAGGTTGGTCATAGCAACGGAGCTCCGCAGTTCTCTGCCTATTTCTCCCAGTAATCACTCTTGATCGGTTGTGCCCAGGGTTGATTGATCTTGGTCATAGTGATCTGGATTTGCTTCTATTCTATTTGAGCCTGTCATATTCTTTACGTGGCCCTGAGTGATAAGCGTGTACAGCTGTTCCAATGTCTTCCCTCATGGGTACCAGCTAGCAGTAGTTGCCCCTGAGCAGCGTGAGTGCAGAGATTTCGGTCTTGCAGCCAAGCACTAATATGCTTACACAAGTCGACTCACCCGACTGAAAGCTCTATGCTGACAGTGAATGCTTCACGCCACGGCCGGATAAGATCCTTGCACTGTTGCTGTTGCCTTCATGAAGGGTAGCATGTCTGCGCCTGTGCATGCTTCATGTCGGTGCAGAAAAGATCCAAACTTGTGATATTGGTGATGAGCCTGATTGCAGTGGTATGCTCTGTGAGGATCACCTGTATTGAACCACTGCTCGCGCTCTGTGTGTCCTGGTGCTTGTGTGGGTGTGGGTGGGCGTGGGTGTGTGTTTGTGTGGGTGGGTGTGTGGGTGTGTATATAATGTGTGCGAATTGGGGGTTCAATTCATATGGCGTTGTGCAGTTGTGTAGGTTAGACGGTTATCTGGCGCTAGTCTTGATCGGCTTCATTCAGATCCGCTAACGTTGCTATAAGAGAAATTCTGTGGGTGCACATCCAGTGCAGTTGCAGATTTGCGTGCTTCTCTTGCGATGGGCGTACACATGGTACGTCGTGTGCATGAGTGTGTGTGTACTTCGCGCTGGCCTCACATACGTGTCGGCAAGCGTTGTACATTGTCCTTAGGTCCAGGAATATATTCCCAGTGTGCAAAACACTTGAACGTTGAGGAAATTTCCAGACGAATCTTCATTATCACGTTAGTCTCACAAAGCTGTCCCCGGGGAAAATTGCGATTCCGCGGCCGCGTTTTTTGCGATTTTTTAAAAGACCACATTTTCCGCGATTTTCCCGCGTTTTTTGAACTTTTGTGTTGCACTACACGTACACACAGTGCACTGTTCGGTCAGCAACGTGGCGGCTTTGTACTCAAATATGACGAGCGCTTACACCAGAGACTTGTAACTGGTTGATTTCACTACATATTCACTGAAAATTGCCTCATATCAAATGCAAACTTGCCGCCGCGAGATGATATCAATAATATTCACCGCATATTTACCGCAAATTATGCCATATTATGCCGCGTTTTTTGCGATTTTTTTCCGCAATTTTCCCCGGGGACAGACAAAGGGGATCATTTAGTAATAAAATGCAGCTATTCTGTCCCCTTGGAAAAACGCGATTTTCGCAGAAGTTGCCATCATCCGCGGAAATCACGGAATCCACACTTTTGCCCGCGGAATCTGAATTTTTTAGGGTAAATTACTAAAATTACTATTCAGAAAGCAGCAGAAAAAATACTTTGCGACTGTTTGAGCACATTTCTCTTGCCAGTGCAGGTCTCTCCAAGATTCTTCGCTCTTATTCAGTTTGTGACTGCAAAGGATAGTATGAAAAGTGCTCCTTCATGCGACTAATTGTCATATCCTCTACGAGGAGGGTGAAAAACTTGCAGAAAGTGCCGCAGATTTTTGATTTTACCGCAGAAAATGCCGCAGAAAAGCCCCCTTTTCCCCGCGGAATTTGCCGCGGAATTTTGAATTCTTCGCCGCGTTTTTCCAAAGGGATAGGCTATTGGGGTTGGCTGTTTTCGCTGACAGCTGTAAACAAATTTAATGTAGGTGTGTATGAATGTCTTGCACAATGTACATGATTGTAGGAAAGTCTAGCCGTACGTTCAGACTAGAAGGCAGAAATGCCCGTGTACGTGTATCTGGTGTAGTAAACTGTAAAATAAAAAGTTGCAGAAATCGCATCCATATTTTCAGAGAAAAAAAGCTCAAAAGTTGCCAACATCACAACTTCAAATGAGAGAGTTTTTGTGTCAAAACAACCAAAAAGGAGGGGAAATTGTAGAAGTGCAGAGACAGCAAACACCCATCCTGCTGTGAACTACCACGGTGCAAGTAGCACGCATCCTCCGTCATTTTCAGTGCACGCACAAGGGAATGCGCATACTGTAAAAGCCCCATATAATTATAACGAGGTGCTAATTCTAAAACGCTGAACCAAGAACTAGATACATAATTCCACCACGACAGGTCTGACTGTGCCACCTCGTGTTTCAAACAAAACACGAGGTACCGTAAAAGTAAAGTAAAAAGTAAATTATCGTATCCGTTCCCGAAGGGAACTCACGACGGCCGCTAACACCCGATAAACCCCGGGTACAGTAAAGTCTTGTATAAAAGTCGCACTTGAATAGAAGCCGCAATTTTGGGCCCATCAAATCACATACTGTAAAAGCAGAAAATTTCGGTGGCGTTTTATTTCCGGTAACTTCGGTGCCGAAATTTTTACCGAAAATAAAACGCACCGAAAATGTCGGTATAGCACTAGTACACTTACCTTGAACTCGGGTTTACCGAAAATTTCCCTCCGCCGAACCGCCGATTTTGGAGAATACCGAAAATATTACACCACCGAAAATTTCTGCTTTTACAGTATACGCCTGGTTTTAGCGTTGACATACATAGAACTCAACCTCGTACATTATAATTATCTCGCCACCCATTGACCATGATGCTATATGAAGAGACAATAATGATGACGTTTCCCCCAATGACACCAATTTTATGACGCTCCATGTTACTCTATGTTACTGACGTACTAACTTTGGTCATTGGTTTGTAGAGCCCCATTCTCTAGGAGATATTATCTACATCTGCTCTGTTTCAATGTCCAGCATAAGCGAACGTGTGGATCAAGCATAACTGCTTGATTGACGCTGCCGCGGAAATGCGTATAATAATAATAATACATAGAAATACCTGTCTTGTATAGAAGCCTGCAAAATTTCACCAAGAAAGTCAAAGACTTTTATACAAGACTTTTTATGGTACTCAGTGTGAACATGTAAGTATGCCAGGGTGGTTAGTGTGAACGTGTAGTTATGCCAGGTTGGTCAGAAACAAAATAGACCAGGACATATCTGGCCATGCAATCTTATCATACAAAGAGAGCAACACTGTGAACTTGTAATATGACCGGGTAATTACTTGTAGAAACAACTAACGTTAATTAATATACTGTGACTGTACAGTCTGGGGTCAGGAATCTGTGGAATTCTTCCACGAGGTCTTCATAAATATAGACCCAGAAACCCGACGATACGGAGAAGGCTTTGAAAATACCCATCCTTGCTCTTCAATGTCCGAAGTCCAATAACGTTGTGAGAATCCATTCGAAAGTGATAATTATGATCATCAGTTACCCTTTGCTTTGCGAGAAGGAGAAACACCTTTGCATCGTCTTTACAGCAAGAATGTGCGGGGAGGTGTGTGTTGAGGAATCACGAACTTGCCGAGGCATGCTTGACGCAGATTTCGGTGGATTAGCGGAGCGTGTTATCTGCAAAATGCGTGCTTGTCCTGTTAGACACTTGTTAAATCCCTTTAATAAATCAGATTGGTCTGGCTCAACTATTGGAAGAACCTTGAGGAGGCCACAAGCAATTGCACACAGTGAATGGTCCGATTCATAGTGTGTTATGTAGCCTCCCAAATAGTTAACGTAGCTAGCCAACACTCCTCCTTTATGTCTGGAATAAACGGCATAGCGGAAGGCAGAAATCCCTGGCCTTTCCATGAGGTTCTTCTGGAGTGAGAAGGCGAACGATCCTTCTGGTATTTCCTTCACTTCTTTCTTCTCCCCGCCTAGGCGGTGCTGGGAACCTTTCGGACGTTGCGGTCTCCTCCCTTCCGTCCTGAGGATGCTCGCGGGGTGGAACCCATTAAAGCAGATACAGGCAACAGCAAGGTGAAGTACTGGTGTTGCCTACATGTATGATAGAGCACGCTCTGTCTCGGTGAGTTCCGTTTACATCTTTTCCTGGCCGGAGAGCTCGCTGCAGTCAAATCACATTCGCCTGTTGTGTCGGTCACAACCTCTTCTTTAGCAGCGTGTGATGATTGTTCCCGTCCTTCTTTTCCTTGGTCCGTCTTTGCTACGGAGCTCCGTGCCGGACACCTTGTATGTGTTGTAGACTGTTTGTTTTGACACCCGGTGGTAGATGCTGGGGAGTTAGGGTACTGGTTGGTCTGAGAATCCCTATCCTCTGCTTCGGTCTCCACGCAGAACAGTTTAGCTTCTTTCTTATTCCGTTGTTTGACGAGGTCTAGGTCTTCGGTAATCTGGTGTCCACCAACAACTTCAGTAGAGTTATGCCCTGCTGCGTTGTGCGGCTGAGACCGCTGCGTCGTGGCTGGGAGCTTGTTGGTGATGCTTTCTCGGTGACCATTGTCGCTTTCCCTTCCTGTTTCAGTTTCTGGCGGTGCCCGGCAGCCGCATCACTAACGGGTCCGAGTCTACATGCATACATGCATGTATGCCAACACATAATGACAGCGAGAAGTTAGAATAATTTGTTGCTCCACGACCATCTCCCATAAATATGGTGTCCCTGCGACTCGTGGTCACGCAGTTGACTCTCGCCCAGTGGCTGCCATTAAGCTGTGGAATGCCTTGCCCCAAGAGTTACAGTCTGCTGCAAATAGTGCACAGTTTAAATTCCTTTAGTTTAATACCAGACGATGTGTACAATCATGAACGTGTCGAATTCGACGTACTCAGGTGGGGAACTTCACATGATCGTATTATAACTCTCCATCCAAGATGTGCTGGAGCTGTTAGCCAGTTAGTTGTAGAACGTCAGTACCGTCGTCGGTCAGTGTCGTGCAATGTTATCGCATGAGCTGATTGTTTAGTAACTGGTGGTGTTAGTGGACATTATAGCGTAACTTGTAGTTCCTTGGTCTTTTTTTTCTTTTCTATAGATCGTAGCTCTGTCAAAACATGCCCTATTTCAACGATTCAAACATCTAGGTCGAAGAGAAAACTCTCTGCTCTGCGTAGGAACAATGCGCGAAGTGCCACGACCAGCGGTTCCGGAGACCACGTGTAACTAGAACTAAGTAACAGTGTGCGGAGAAATAGCATCACAATGGTGGTATCAATTGCAACTAAGTGATACAGTTCGCGACGAAACAGCATTCAATAGATGGGCGAATCAAACGGAATGGAAGACGGAGAGTTGGAAAAGTGAGAAGTAAGACAAGATGGACTAAATGTACACTGTTCAAAGACGAACACCTACATGTACATGTATAACACACTACAATTATTGCTTGAGGTTGTCAGGAGTGTCAGTAAACACTAAACAGCTTGAGAGATAATACATATTTTTATTTTGCTTGCATAGTGCTGGCTGTGTGGTGTAAAAATAGTAATAATGTAATATAGATGCTGTTAAAACAGAGAGGTTCCAGGCTGTCCAAGAGAGTGCTCAATACCGAGTGGTAGAGCTGGTTCAAACAATAGGAGGACAG